TTAGTATTGATCAGAAATTAATTTGGAATTAATTTGATGATTAAAAGAAACTAATTGAATTAAGAGGACTGGTATTGCAATTATCTAATAGTTGCAAAGTTGGGCTTGTGGATCCCTAAGAAGGGATGAACGAAATCTGTTGATGCTCTTGTGAGACATTCAAAAGTGTAATTATTACGTTTTACAAGAAAAATGAGTCATAGTTCACGTAAATCTGTTGATGCTCTTGTGAGACATTCACTTCACCGTACCTACCTAGTGTACACCTTAAGTCCTTCATTATAACCAGAGTCTCCAGGAGGGAGAGAGAGATAGTTGTGTATAGATCTATACGGGATTGACAACCCCACACCTCAGCTGTTCGCTACAGTTAGACCGACAAGTCTAGGGTTACAAATGTCTACCAATTCCGACGCCAGAAGAACGTCGTTCAGGCATATCAGTCATATTAAGTATGGTTATAATAACTCACATAGGGATTAACAAAACTACTCGGTTTACGGGATAACTTACACTTCATCAGCTTTATGAAAAGATAAAACTACATAATATTTTTCAGTACAACATTACTTACTTTTCTGGTCTTAGGGTTTTAAGACTACAGTTCAATTTAAGAAAATATCATATTTTCTGGAAGCATACAAAACCATTTTTACGGAAAACAGTTACAAATCCTTTTCATACAAAACGCTTATCAACTCACCAACTTAATTGTTGACACTTTTAAAATCACTTGTATTCTCAGGAAATCAGTGAGCAGGTATTCAACCTATTTTTGAGGGCAGGAGTTGCTACGTCATGAACTTTTACTTTTCAGTTATTTGTTGTTAACTTTTGAACAAACAAAGTATGCAAACGATGTAAAATTGTAATCTAAATGTGTGATGTTTTGGGTTGCTATGATTCATTTATATTCAACTGTTATGATACTATAAAATGACGTCATCCGCCCCCGGACGTTTCCGCCGTTCCGGTTCGGGGGTGTGACAATTGCTTAAGCCCTAAGCAGAGAATTAGGGTTTCAGTCAAATACCTAATTGCTCAGCTATATAAGGAACCCCCTAGGGCTCCCAAAATCGGCCACTTGCTTTCCAAGAGAATACCCTAGCCGATTTTGAGCCTCCTAACCTCTCTCATATTCTTCCAACTTGCTATTTGGTGTTTATAACTCACTAGAGGTGCAACATTTGAGGCACTAAGCTCTTGAAGGTCAAGATCTACAAACTACAAGCCAAAGGTATTCTTCTAACCCTTGTTTATGGTATGATTTCCGAAAATTGCATGCTAGTTAAGGTTCATGCTTTGGAGAATTTGATTTGCATGTATAACTTGAGAAAAACATAGATCCGAAGCATTAGGGTTGCATGTACATCATAGGAATGTTGTAGTGCTCAAAACCCATCAACTTTGACCAAGCTTGACTTTAGGTCAAAATGAAGTGATTTGAGTAGTAGATCGAGGCTTGGTCCTTATTTATTATATAGGTGACCTGTAGAGCCGGTGTTTGGAGTAGTAAGTAGTTCAACTATCATCTAGACTTTGAGGTGAGTGTTCCTCACTATACTCGTGGGTCGAAGGCACCAATTCCAGGCCACTAGGCTGTGTTATGTATCTTGATATATAGGATGATACTATGTTATAGTGATCTGTTAGATTGGTAGATCTGTTTGATTACCAGTATTTGTTGGTTATATGTTTATATGTTGCATATGTCGACATAATGCGGGTGGGTTTAGGTGGTCTTGCTTTGTGTTCTAGGCCAACAAACACAGGGGCAATCCAGTTGGAAGACTGTGGGCCAGGGGCAATCCAGTCGGGAGGCTGTGGGCCAGGGGTAATCCAGTCGGGAGACTATGGACCCAACATGTATGTTTGTATATATTTTTCCGTGTGGGGAATTTTGGGGGAACTCACTAAGATTTAGCTTACAATTTGGTTTCAGGTACATCAGATGATCAGGGCAAGGCGAAGGCGTGATTGTGCAGATCACCCTTGGATATTTTATTGATAGATGATTTTTGGATACTCTGATTTATGATTATGGCTTTTTGAAAATGATGTTTTGTATGACTTATGAGTTACTAAATGGTTTTGAAAATGAAAATTTTTATCATGATTTTTGAGATGTTACATCATCACGTACCATCTAATTTAGACTTCAAAAACTTCAAAATTGACCTCTATGATTGATTTTTACTTATGCTTTGCAATGAACATACCCAACTCTAAAGTATAATTAAACCTTATTAACACCATTTAATTAGCAATCTAATGAATTTATGATGATCTAATCAAATTTTAACCCAAAGGCTCTATTAAAAGCACATAAACCCATTTAACCAAATTGGAGATTTCAACATTATGATTTTGACTTTGCATCATTAAACATACATTCAAATAAAAAACTTGAGATAATTAAATGTTAAAAATTGAATTCCATTGGATATATGAATGAGTTTAACTAGGTATTCAAAACAACTATTAAAGCTTCATGAACTCATTTGCAATCATGGAGATGATCTTACACAACTAAAATAGTGTTAGGAAACATATAGTTCAACACTAAATTAAAGTTATTCAAGAAGTTTACCATATAATTTGAGTTTATGATATTTATCAAGCGTTATAAACTTAAATGATAAAGATATGATTGAATCATTACCTTCACGTGAAGCATTAGTTGTTGTAACATCACTGGAACTTCAAATTTGCTTTTAATCTTCTAATTCTCTCACAAAATTTCAATGTCTTCTTAGATATAAACTTTCCTTAATTTCTTTCCTCGAAAAAGTTTTCATTACTTGGCTCCAACTTTCAAAATTTTGATTTATTTCCAATATGTCATCCATTTAACATTTCTAATATAATAACCTTTTTTAATCCTAAAATGCTAATATATGAACAATTTATGTCCAAATTCTAACTAAATCGATTAAGTCAAATGTCACACCATAAATCTCAATTTTGAAAAGTCAATGCTCAATCTCCGAGCTCTTTTTCAAAAAAAAAAAAAAAAAAAAAAAACTCTCAATCTCTGAGCTTTAACTATAACTTTCATAAATAATTAGTTTATTAAAATTTATTAATATAAGTTAACTAAATTTTAAGTTTTCATTTACTAGATTCTTACATGGCGACTATATGAATTTTCCCAACCTGGATACAGGTTTCCAGATATCTCTGACAAGCATGGATCAACCCTAACTATGCCTAAGCTATTGGTTACTTGGAAATCGCGGCTAGCCTTGCTAGCGGCTTAGGCAACCGATGTCGGTTAAATTTGACCTTGATTGCCAACTCAACCTAACCTTGGTTACTGACTCCACTTAGTTTGGCCGTCGACTCCTCATTTCCTCATTATGGGTTCGACTCGTCCGCCCTTCCCTTGTCAACCTTCTTAGTCTAGGCTTAGAATAAGACATCATGGACCCAACACCCACTGGTTTGGTCCATGTTTTATATAACCCATTGGGTGGGTAACACTATTAATGTCCTAATTTATGCAAATAATATAGTCGTTTAAAAAGTTATGATATTGTCTCTAAAGGGCTATTTGGTAGAATATGTCTTATTAAGATTTGAATTAGATATATGCTCTGAAAAATCTGTCTCTAACTGAAATCATGTTGTTTTGTTAGACATCTAAATGACTGTGTTGATGATAAAAATGATCATTTTACCATTCTGTTTAAAATAATAATAATATATATAAAAACCATCAGAAATTTTAAGAAATCCATACATACACATAATAGACAAAAACAAATTTAATACATAGATACACATACCGTACACAAATACACACATATACACATATTGTATAACTGCTTGATACATACATACATAATACATACATACAAACATCGTACATAAATACACACACACACACTTATATATACACACTAAATACATACATCTACAAATTGTATAAAAATACATACAAAATCATCAGGTTTGTCAAGGCAACTTTGAGATTTTTAGATGTTAATCAGTTCAAAAGAAGCACCCATCATTTGGAAACAACAAGAAATATTGAGATTTTTTGTAGCAATTTCGTATCCGAGCAATGGAGGAGATCAGAGGTAACAAGGGTGGAGACCGGCGCTGACGAGGGCATCATTGTCATAGCTTGGCATTGGGGGTCATAGCTTGGCGTCGAAGGTCCGACCTTGGTGGTGGGAGTCAATTTCAGGGAGTTGGGAGCAATTTTGTACCTGAACAATGAAGATGATTGAAGTTCGCAAGGGTGGAGACCGATGGTGTTGGAGCTTGGCGTTGGAGGTCGTGAGTTGGGAGCGATATACGAAGTCGTGTTTCGCTTGTGGGTGTCGATGGGTATTATGGCAAATGGGAAGAGATTGTAAAATGTTCATTAAGATTTAAGATACCACCTCAAGTTTGATCAAATAAGAGGTATTTGACTGAATAAAAAACAAAATTAAAAAACTATCAAACATTATAAATCTTATAGATTCAGGTTGTCGTAAATTAAATTTACAACTGCTTTATACAAATAGCTTTTATTTATAATCTTTTTATGACTTTGTTATCAACATGATTACCGCTTGGTGACCATATTTGATGGATACATGATATATACAACTTTTGTTGGTGTTATGTTCCAACGTTGCACTAAGAAACCATAGGTATCAAAAATGATTTTGAGTATCAAAAGGTCACAAATGACTTTATATCCTTTTCGTCATTATAATATGTGATTTGTGATCGGTTAAATATATTAATTTCGACTCAATCATTATATATACTCTTTTTTATATAAAACATTTAAAATTAAAACAAGACAATCAATGAAAACAAAAATAAATATAATTAAAAGGAATAGTTTAAGATTTTGTATTAAGTTAATGTTTGAAATCAATTATTATAAAGCATATATAAGATAAAACGTTACATATATATAAAATTGTATACGAATATATAATGTAGACATTAATAAATGTTGGACAGTTTTAGTATATGATAATAAATTTACATTAATATCTGTACCAAAAGCAAGGTAGAGAGAATCTAGAAATGCTCATTTCTTTTCATTTTCTCAAAAACCCCAGAAAAATTATTTATTTAGCAAAAGAAAAATCAGTGTGTGTGAGGATTGAGGAAAAAGCAGAGAATAAAAAGGAGACCGGATGTTGACAAATTTCATGTCACTGTTCTTAGAAGGTCGTTTGTTTGTGTGAAGATTTCTTATCTGGGATCTCTCTCTTTCTCTCTCTTCAAAACCCCTTCTTTCTCTCTCTAAAAAAACCTTCCTTTCTTTCAGAAGAGAGAGAGAGAGACACTGGCCCAGCAGATCGAAAATCTTCATCTTTTTCATATACCCATGAAGTGATGATCTAATTCTAACTTCCTTCAATGGTGGTTTTGTGTCTTTCTTTATTCTGATAAACAATTATTACTATTAATTATTAAATATTTATTATTATTATTATTATTTTTATCATTACCACCTGTCTATTTTGGCTTCAAGATTCTTTGAGTTCTTGAGGGTTGAAGAAATTGTTCAATGATTTGGTCAATCTAAAATTCTTGGAGCAGGGCGCAAATAAGGATGTGGGTCTAAGGTAAATTTCACATACAGTTTCTCAGTTGTTTTTAGATTCATGGTGGGTTTTTGGGGTTTGATTATATTCAATAAATTTAGGTTTTTTTTTTTTTGAATTACTTTTCTACTTTCTTGATTTGGGTTTTTGATAATTGAGATTAAACACTTGATATTACTCTGTATTATGACGACTGATGATTATCATGCGGGATCTGTTCTTTTTTGTTTGTTTATTATTTTTCTAATTTTGATTCTCCTTTAATTTTAAGCTGCAAAAGGGGGAAAAAATTTCTCAATCATGGATAGGGTTCTTGAGATGCCAATTTGTGCGTCGAGTGATAGATTGTTTGAATTTAGCCATAGATTTAATCTGGGATTTCACGAATGATAATTTTATTATTAAAAAGCTTTATTCCTCGTAATTTATCTTATTATAATCATCTTGAACTGCGATCCTTAATGCCTCGGTGCTCTAATTCTTGTTTAAACCTTATGAAATACTTTGAAGATTCATTGAATGTTTGTAAAATGCAATTGAGTGCTACATTTAATTCTCCTTGATTTAAGCTAATTTCAAGCTAACTTTTGGGGAAATTTCTACTTGATTACTTCAGCAACATCAAATTTTAATTAATGCAAATATTTTGTGACCAGAAAGATTGTAAAGTTGACTCTTTTTTGTCCAGTAACTTTACTCTTATGCCCTTGATAACATGGTGAATGAGTAATTTTCCTTAGCTTATAATATATTCTTTATCTGGAGGTATATAAAAAATGTGTTTGATATCTATAGATGAACATTAATCAAGTGAATATTTTCTCTTTAGATCATATACTATTTTCTTTAGATCAAGTTTGCAATGAATTTGTTACATATAGTCAACTGGTTTTATGAGTTAGTTTAGGGCATTAATTGCATACCTCTTTTTAGTCATATGTTTGTGTAATTATTTGACTATAAACATTAAAAGTTAAATGAGACGTGTTGTTTTATACTAAGGGGTTGTTTCTTTTTTGACTTAATGAGCTTAATGGGTTAAGCATTTAATTTGGACAAGTATACACGGTTGTTTCTTTTTGACATAATCTGAACATAATGACTTAAAGGGTGCTTGTAGCATAGTTTTCATATAGCAAAAAGATTTAAAGTTGTGTTATTGAAGTGTATTAATTGTTATAAAATCTTATTTGTTAATGAATCAACAGGAATGGGAACAGAAGTACACTGCAAAAGCTCTTTTGAAGGGTATTACTCCATGAGGGATGCAAATGAGGATTCCAATAGTAGTAGCTGGCCTCTGTTTTATCGGGAAAAATCTTTGAATAATGGTCATTATTACAACGGTTTCATACCAAGGACTATTTCAGATGACAAGGATGCATTAAAGCAAAAAATGCTTGAACATGAAGCCATCTTCAAGAACCAGGTACTAATACTACAAACATAAGAAACCAACAATTACATTTGATTCTTTGGATTATATAATTTTTTTTGGAGATCTAATTTATTTGATTTTGTTGTGGAGAATCAGGTTCACGAACTTCATCGCCTTTACATAAGACAAAGAGACATGATGGAAGAAATCAAAAGAAAGGAAATAAATAAACACCGAGTTTCTATCGATGCATCATCATCTTCAAGTTTCTTACCTTCTCAAAAGCCTTATGAAGACACTCACACTCACAAATGGCAAATGCCCACCTTCCCTTGTGCTACCAGACCTTCCATTTTTGGAGCAGAAATAAGCAATTCACCATTAAGTTGTTCAAAAGGAAACAACAACAACAATAATAATAGTTCAAAAGATTGTGAGATTGTGGAGTGTAGACCTTCAAAAGTTAGAAAAAAGTTATTTGATCTTGAACTTCCACCCGATGAGAACATGGATCATGAAGAGCATGAGGGAATGCAATGTAAGCAGGTGTCAGAAGAATCGAGTTTTAGGGGGTCTAATGGGTTAGCTGATCTTAATGAACCGGTTCATGTTGATGAACCCATGGTTCATGGGTCTAGATCTGTTGGTGGGTTTGGACCCTCGGCTAAACCACACGTTGGTCAGGGTCAGTTTCTTGACCAGAGACATGAGTTTAGTGGACGCCCTGGTGGAGTGTTTAATCCTTTGTTGATTGAGGGAAAAGGGAATGGAAGGGATTGGTTGTCTAATACCCGTGAAACAGGTCATTTTTTTCTCTTTTTCTCTTTTTAATTTTTTTTTATTGATGGTTGTGAAATTTCCTCTAATTTTATTTTATGTGTTGACTCTTTTAACAGGGAATAGTAGAGGCAATATGAACTTGGCTCCAGCAACATACTCTGAAATTTCTACAAGATTTCAAGATCATGCTCGATTTAACCAAACCCATTTGCCATTTCCTACATCACGCACATCTACTTCATACCCACATCCAAATTCATCGAATTTTGCAACTTCTTGGGAAAAACAGAATGGTAGTTTGACTCATAAGTTGACTTCATTTCAAAAACAGCCATCTTTTCTCTCATCATCATCTCCACAAAGCCACATGGCTCTTGGAGACAAGTGGCAGAGTAACGGATCTTATACCCCAAATGGATTCTATCGTGGATCATCATCCGGGTCAAAAGACCCATGTGCCCGTTTTCCTTCTGGTGTTCTTGATCATCGAAACTACAATAATCTTGATGATAAGTCACAAAAGATCTTCAATGGTTCAAACTTTATAGATTTGGACACCACAAAAGGTATGGACTTGAATACAGTTGAAAATGTGTGTAATGATGACAATAGTAGTTCAAGAAAATGCAATCAAACTGTGCTTCCATGGCTTCAACCCAAACCAGATATCTGTAAAAATGATTCTCCTTCAGTTAATAATGGAAAGATTCCTCCGGTTTTTGGGAATTCTTGCGTTTCAGAAAATGGGAAAATAAAGAAGGAAAAAATGGAACAAGAACAACACAGAGGATTTGACATTAATGTAGCTTGGGATGATGATCCTGAAAACAATGATATTGTAAAGGAAATCAATACAGAAAATGAGAAAATCAAGAATCATTTCGATTTGAATTCGTGTGTGACAGAGGATGAAGAAATTACAGTACCAGAATCTGTAAAAAGCTTGAAGAAGATAACAATGGAGATTGATTTAGAAGCTCCAGCTGTTCCAGAGGTCGAGGAAGAAGAAGAAGAAGAAACCATTGATGAGGTCAAGAAACTTGATGAAGAGCTCGCCAAGGTGGCAGCCGAAGCAATGGTTGCAATATTCGGTCAACCAAAGTCAATGTCTGATGTGGCGGTTGGTTCTGAATCTGATGACGAGGACAAGGACAAGGACCGCCTCCTATGGTTTGCAGATGTAATCGGAAACGTGGGTCCCGTGTCTAACGCGCTCGATGAATACGAAGAGTTGACTTTGAAATTAGAGGAGACTAAAGAACAAGATTACATGCCAAAACCTCTGGCTCCTGATTTCCAGGAGCCAGATGAAGCGGGCCCGTCAGCGGGCCCGCTTCGACCGCGAAGAGGTCAAGCGAGACGAGGTAGGCCCCGGAGGGATTTCCAAAGGGATATCCTTCCGGGCCTCGTGTCTCTTTCGAGACACGAGGTAACCGAAGATCTACAGATCTTCGGAGGGCTAATGAAAGCTACAGGGTATTCCTGGAATGTGGGGCTTACAAGGAGGAACGGAACAAGGGGAAGGAGGAAGGCGGTGGTGGCGGCGGCGGACCCACCACCTGCCGCCACCCCACCACCACCGCCGCCTCCTCCACCGCCATTCTCAGAGCAGCTTGGAAACTTAGAGGTGGTGGGATTGGAGGAGAGAAGCTTAACGGGGTGGGGGAAGACGACTAGACGTCCTCGGAGACAACGGTGTGCTGCGGGTAATTCAATGGTGGTGCCTTTAACGTAATTTTTGTGAAATTTTTATAATATTTACTACATGAACTCTGAATTTTACAGAGGGAGGTAAAAACCAATTTAGGGAAGCTGATTTATGGCTTGTTGAGAGTGAAATTGTTCTTGGGATTGTCATTGTACATGTTTGTTTGTCATATCCCAAAATCTTGGTTCGGTTTTAACCCGACCCGACCCAACCCGTATTTGTCTGTGTATCCTTTTGCTAACTTGATATTTTCATCAGAAATAGTCTTAATCCCCGTTGGATCACCAACAATCATAGTATATTAATCTGGTAAAGTTATATATATGGATGTTTTCTTTTTTCCAGTTGATACAGAAAAAAACGACAAAATAGAAAAAGTTAGATGTTAACTCATAACTCTATATATATTTTTTGTATAGATTTCTCGTAGTGGGTGATTATCTGGTCAACTATACTTTTTAGGCATTTATCAAGACAATAGTGAGTGGGTGTATGATGTATATGTAGGAATTAAGATTGAAGAAGTAAACTAGTAAAGTATGAATGATTGTACGGACATATGGTTTGTAGTTGGATAGTTTGGCAGTCGCTTTGTGTACTTTGATAGTGAAATGTGAATGTAATGGGTTATTTTGGTAGGGATGGATGATTTACTATTGTTAGTGGTGGTTGGTACTTTGGAATTTATGTTTCTTTTCTATCTTTCTGGTATATCACAAGAATAAAAGACCGAGTTGAATCAGTGAGTGGGGTGAGTTGAACAAGTTAAGTGTGTAGACTGTAGAGATTAAGAAGGGAAATTGGAAAGTTTGTTTAAAATGAGAAAGGGTACACGCCGTGGTATAAAGCATCTCCAATAGTGGATTTTTCTAAAGTTTATATATATATATATATATATATATATATATATATATATATATATATATACTAGGTGTGAGACCCGTGTATTACACGGGTTGATTTAAAAAAAAATTAAACATTAAAGTGTAAACAGAAAATATTTTTTAATTTACAACTTTAAAATAAGAAAGGAAGAAATGTATTTATTGCAATTTAATATCATATATATGATATTTAATACTTTACATATATAAGTATATATCTTTAATTTAAAAATTAAAACAAACCAAAAATTGACAAATAGATAATATTTATTTCAAAAATACCACAAAATGACAAGTGTCAAAACTAATGAGAGATTGACATGTGGCAAAAAAAACCTTTATTTATTAAGGAAGATATATATATATATATATATATATATAGATATATATATATATATGGTTAGGTTATTTTGTTCTAACTATCTATTTTGTGCATTTAAGATTGATTCTGGACCAATCATTTTAATTATTTTAAGAAACTAATTAATGCATATTACATGTTAAAGATATAATGAGCATTAATTAAACTTTCAGCATTTAATATGCATTAATTATTTTTCTTAAAATAACTAAAATGATTGGTCCATAATCAATCCTACAAACACACAATAGATAGTAAAAACATTTGAACCTATATATATATATATATATATATATATATATATATATATATATATATATATATATATATTTATATATAGTCTTTAAAAAGCTTATTAATGAAAGATTTTTTTTAGTTCCAACCATAAAGAGCAACCAAATCAATCTTGCAAATCACTTTCAAAGTCACTTTCCTAATGCCTTTCGCCATTTCACCATTTGTAAGTCAACAACTCAACATGTAACGACAAATCTTCAAAACTAAAGGGTCTATTATACAATTAAACATTACTACTATTTAAAATTATATTGTTATATTTAATTGTTAACTTTTTATTTCACTAACTTATCTTCATATAAATGATTATATATGAAAAAGTATATAAATCCTTCCTAATGAAACTAATTTTACAACTTTTCATCCTATTATATATACATCGTCACTAAAATGATTATATATGAAAAAGTATATAAATCCTTCCTAATGAAACTAATTTTACCACTTTTCATCCTATTATATATACATTGTCACGTATCTGTGGTAAATTTGGATTAAATTATACCTATATATCATTTTATCGTTTTTTCAATTTTATTAAATTTCATATAATATTTAAATGTAATAAATGTAATAATAAATATATATCCAATTTATTAATGCAATTTTCTTATAATTTCTAAATTTCTAAATTAAATCAAATCATTTTAGTTGTTTATTTATTTAAATTATTAGTTTAAATATAAAAGATAAATAAACATTTCAATTTTAATAATTAAATATTTTACTTTTTTCTTATAAATTTAAATTTTCTAAATTGTTAGATCTTTATGTTTGTTTATTTTTTTCAATAAACTCATATAATACATGAGTCACACAACTAGTATACTTATATATTAACAAATATTTAATTTCTATTTATATATACTTGATTAACTACATCTATATTATAAAACAAATTATAGAAATACAATAACATAAATTCCACATTGTAAAAGATAGACATAAATTTTCAACATGGATATATACGTAAAAACATTCTATTTCGATCATTATATAAAAATTGATAAAATATACAAATAAAATTATATTGTTGTTAGTTTGATAACGTATTAATTTGTTTTTTTCCTAAAGCTTTCTTTGGTGCTAAAATACATAAATATTTATTATTAGATTATTATAGATTTTAATAATATTTAGTAGCTAAGTCAAAAATTTGTTCTAAAATTTAATTGAATAGCTATTAATTATTTATATAATTAAAAAACTTGTTGAAAAGTATAAAGTGATTGTTAATATGTAAGCAGAGATAACTTTTATATACGTGTTCGTATTGGTTTTGCATTTCTGTAGGGTAGTTGCGATTCAATACAACTGAAAAAATGGTATCATTATATGGGAGGTATGAGTGGTTCTCTCTCAACTCATTCAACCACTACCAAATCAGCTCCATATCACATCCACATCAACTTTCTTTCTTTTATTTCTTTTATTTTTCCCAACACACAACATTTGAAAATAACATATTTCCCGACCCACTCAATTAAAAACATACAAAATAACATAGTATACAAGTTCTTAAGCATATGGTACAAGAGAAGATAGATAGAGAAGGGGGGGGGGGTGGAAAGCGACATCTTCAAACTGCATATGAGGCCAAAGCCTCAACTCGCTTGTTCTAGGGGAAACCATCAGTACCGCCAACCCAAAAATGCCCCTCCTAAGCCATTCCGCCCTCCCTAGGGAGCCGCTTTCCACCTTTCTCTCTCTCTCTCTCTCTCTCCATCTCTTTTTTTTGTTTTGTATCATATGCTTAAGAACTTGTAGACTATATTGTTTTGTATGTTTTTAATCGAGTGAGTTGGAAAATATGTTATTTCCATGTGTTGTGAATTGGGAAAGGTTGAAGAAATAGAAAAGAGAAAGTTGATGTAGAGGAGATGTGGAGCTAACGTGACAATGGATTGAGTGAGTTGGGAGGGAACCACTCCTACCTCCCTAATAAGTGTTGACATTACATTGATTTGGGGATACTTGCAATGGCTATTGTGATACAATTGAAAAAGTTATGACATTGAACTATAGAAGGTATGAATATATATATATATTATATATATATATATATATATATATATATATATATATATATTATAACATCCTGTTTCGAGTCGTTTCATAATTTGGAGCCGTATTATAAGGCTTCAGTGTAACGCCCGTAGATCCGAGCTAGTCAATTTAGAGATAATAGGGGTCAAAAACGACTTTTTGATAGAAGGCTATTTAGAATGAATAGTCTTAATAGAAGTTGTAGCATATGTTACAAGGATTCCGTACATATAAAGAACGCCGAAATCCGAGTTATAACGAAGAAGTTATGACCCGTCGAAACCGGCACGACATGGCACGGGGAAGCGTAAATAGTGAATTTACGATAAAACGACTTTTAGCCTTAACAATCTTAACGAAAGTCGTAGAATATGTTAAACCGAGAGCGTCCATAAAAAGAATGCCCAAATCTGACTTCGTATGAGGAAGTTCTGATTTTTCGAAGTTTCGGCTTAGCAGTGTACAGCCCGAAGTTCGAATATTAGATCGAGCGGTTTTTAGCCGACACAACCTAAACGAGAATCGAAGATCTCATTAATAGTAGCATAACGATAAAAAGACAGACGAAAACGGACGTCGGATGAAGAAGTTATGAATTTTTAACGGACCAATCTTGTCCCGGCCTGTTAAAATGTATAACTTTTAAAATAAATTCAAAATTAGCCGATGGAGTCTAAACGAAAGTTGTAGAGTACATTCCCGCCTACGCATGGATATAAAGAACGTCAAAAACGGAGCTCGTAAGAGGAAGATACGAATTTTAGAAGTTAAGGGGGAAATTTGCGAAGCTGATGCAATTTGTCAAACAAATCGGAAATCGGGAAATAAACTGCTGGACAATAAGTAAGACATTGTTCCATGTATTTGTCCGGCTGATATCATGAGAGCAGAGGATTATATGATCACTTATCTAAAATGGCGCTTCATAGTTCAACAAAGTTTTCAAGAGCTACGATTGTCGGTTGGTTCCTGAAGCTATATAGGCAAATACAGTTATTAGACTTATCCAAGTGGGAGACTATTGGATAAGGTGTCTAAGTCCATAACTTATTTGGTATATACTTGACCCGAACCGGCATGGTCCATTTGGGTTGCACTTCACCTGAACTATTTATATGGATAATATTATGAGAAAAGTATATTTGTGACTTATTAATATATTATAAGTTATAATATATTAATATGAAATCGTATTATTTATTTAGTATTGATCTTAAATTAATTATGAATTAATTTAGTGATCAAAAGGTGACTAATTAAATAATGGGCTATTATATTTATATGGTGTGAGCTAACACTCATTAGGAAATGGGATAAGCTTAAATGGGAGTCCATGGATGATCAATGGAGCTTTTAACCCATGGATCCTTGGAAAAGGAAAAGAAATGGGTTATTAGGGTTTGCATGGTTCATAACCCTAATCATCTACACTATATAACGAGGCTTGTGGTGCTTGAAAAGAGACTATGTGTGTGTGCATAAGAGTGGCCGATTTCTAGAGTGTTTGGATACTGTCTCATAAGTTTTACCAGTTTGTGGTTATTTGTGATTTCCATTTGAGGCATTCACATTATTGGTGCTAGGCTCTCAAAATCCTAAGGAATCAAC